AATTTTATCTTTAACACTTTCAGTCTGGTCTGAAATAAAAGTAATCTCTGTTTACTAGTTTCCTACAAGACTTTTACTAAACAGCAGATCAAACTCTCCCTCCCATCCTCTGATTTTTTTATTTCTCCTTTTTTTAAAGTGTGAAAACAACACTTCTCATCACCTACAAAAAGAAAATCTCCATCTTAGTTTTGATCATAGAAAGCTGGGATTTCTGATCTCCTGTGCGCCCTCCCCCCCCCACCCGCTCACCCCCAGTGTTGCTCAGTAGTGCCCCCTAGCAGGGATGATCGTTGCAGACGCGACTCTCCCTCCGGTCCTTACAGTTGCCCTTTGACCTTTTCTTGGAGGTCCTGAAGCGCTCCTGCAGGCCCAGACCGCAGGGTTTACTGCAGTCCGTCCAGCTGCTCCACGGCTGCATGCGGCAGCTCGCTGCACCTGAAACACAGCCTGCAGGTCAGCAGGAAACACGTTTCCAACCTCAAAGTAAATCACATTTATTTATCATGTGTTTGTGTGTGTGTGCTCATTTATTCGTGCAGTTTGCAAAATATCTCATCAACCATGAAACACTTGATTTTGAAGCTAATCACATCAACAGCTGATAAAAGGTTTAGGATGGCGGTAAAGACATGTTAGCAAACACACAAAGTCATGTTTCAGATACGGAGCTTGAATTCGGTGCTGACAGACTGCAGAAAATATTGCAACACTGCACGACATCATTTGTGCTTGAACTTTTCCCTCCTTTCAACTTTTTTGACAGAAAATATAATTATTACATAAAATATAAAATTATTAAAATAACTAGTGAAACTATCAGTTATATAAGATAAAAACAACAAATGAAACATACACACTTGTCCAGATGCATAAAAAGTGCTGTAATCTCCCTTTACTGAAGTTTCACAAATCCAATAAAGGTTTAAATTACACTAGGTTTTAAGTATTCTGATATTAATGTAGAATAATCTAATCTGGGTTTGAAAAGTCTAACTATTTTAGTTTTTTACCAAGAGCAGAAAATGCTGAAGGTAGTCAAAAATTTGGTGGAATCGCCCTGTAGCTATTTCCCAAATTGGGGGCTGCAATCAGAAACCAACTTCAGTTCATCTCCAGCTGCTTGTTTTTAGGCGTTTTGTTAATAAAAGCTCTAAAGTGTGCAGTGTGGTGTTCTTTTTACCTGCCCTGCCATCCTTAACTGCCTGTTGTCAGCTGCACCTCGATTCAAATGGAAAAAATAAAAATAAAAATAAACGTGCCGAGCATGTTCCCAAAGGGGCGTGTGCTCGAGCTCCTTTAGTGTGTGTGGGAGTGTCATTAGCTGCGTTTCGATTGACCATGAAAATGCGCAAATTAGAATTTGGAAAATAAATTTGTTCAACGGAAACACGTCAATTTTGAAAAAAAAAAAATTTGTTTTTCGACAAAATGTTTTTTGCGCTAGGATGAGGTGGTTTTTCGGCCATATCGAAATTGGTGTTTTTCGCAAAACTGCAATGGAAACACTTTTTTTCGCATCACGAGTCACATGATCAACAACCGTCTGTTTCTACTGCTGAAAAAGACGATGACGAAGAAGATAACAGGAAGTAGAAATAGTAGTAATATTATAGAAGTAGTATAAAGTAGTAAACTCACCGACTACAATTTCCCAAAAACACAGCATACGTAGCCACTCCCAAGTAGGGACTTGTCTCTGGAAAGCCTCGATAAAAGACGCCGACGTCTCCTCTGATGATGAGCGCTAGTGTCGTGGTAGCAACATGCTATGTGTTTACATCCATCGCCGCCATGTTTGTAATGACTCATCATGAGAACAAACGTATTCACGTGACTTTAATAACATTTCTTACTTAATGGAAACACAGCAGTTGTGAAACTGTGTTTTTTTGATGTAAAGAGAATATCAACAAAGTTTTGCGCACATTCGCAATGGAAACGCAGCTACTGATGCATGTGTATCATCATCACACATGCAAAACCAGCTGTTAAAAACAGGAAATGATGAGTAATAATTATCCAGCGTTGCTTTGGCGCCCCCTCTGGTGCAGCTTCCCTATGCGTTGCCTACAGTGCACACCTACTTTTTGAGCCTCAACCTTTAGAAGTTTTGACAAATTGATGAAACTATCAGGTTTTCTTCCTTCTCCTCTCACCTCCTCCTCCTTTTGTGCGACACTTCCTGATCTTGCATTTCTTCCTCTGGATGGCCTCAGGACAGGAGCTGCCTCCGAACTGTGGCTCCAGTTTGATCATTCGGGTGCGGATGGTGTGTCCCTTCCCACAGGACTTGTTGCACTCGGACCACTCGGACCACTCTGACATCATGCAGTCGATCGCTGCATGGAAGAACGGAGGCATGAAAGCATTTAATGCTACACTGTGCATTTCAGCTAAACATGAATGAAAAGAAAAAGCATGAATGCAGTTTTAGTAACAATCAGAGGTGCATAAAGAACTTGAAAAAACACAATTAAGTATAAAAATAACAGAAAATGAGTTTGATAAAAAAGTTACTTTAACTCCTTTCGGGTCATAATTACACTTGTCACGTTTAATGAGGTGTTAAATTTTAAAGTCAAGAAGTAAAAGTTTCATTTTTATATTCTGAAAGTAACAAAATAAAAGTAAAAGTTACGATTTCAACAAATAATTGGTAAAATTACAGATCAAAAAAATTACTTAAGTACTGAAACAAAGTAAATGTATTTCACTCTGGTAACAATGGGCCTCACGCAAGAACATGTTCGTATTCTTATCCTAATATTCTCTAACTTTTGTTCGTACAAAGGGTTCGTACGAACACGTCACGTCAGATTCAACAAAC